ATATATATAGGCTCATGGTAGACCCGGACCGGCCCATAAATGAGCGTCGGCCCACCGGGCATTGCCCGGTATACGCCAGATGGCCAGTCCAGCCCTGCAACCAACTGTCCCTTAACTTTGGGATTAAAGGTGATGAGCGACATGCGTTCTTTCAAGGAATGCTCAGCCTCTCATTTTTATTTGTAGTATAAAAATGTTGACAATTTTAAAATTTGATTTCTGACAATCATCTTGACTTTGAACACCAATCTAAAAGTTGCACCTGAAGCTTTTATTTGACATCTTTGCTCTACAAACATTCATTCAAAATTCACCAACTCTGCACCTCTGAACTTTGTGCAAATGGCCTTTACTCCAGTAAATGCACCTCAACGGGTCTTTAAATCCATTTTTCTCCATTTCATTCACCAGGTGGTTTACAAGTAGCTGTTTTTATTGAACTGCAGCATTCTGTAAGTCAGAAAATGTACAGCGCTTTTAAGAGACGTTGACCATGAAACAAAAGCAGCAGGAATCAACATGCAGTCAGAACACAGCTGTAACACCTGCTGGTGTTAAAATGCAACTCAAATGTCAATTTTTCTTAGAAAAAATCCATTAAAATTATGTTTCTAAACGAGTCAAACACTGAAAACGGCTGCTGTGACATTTTAATTATTTTTTAAAGTTTGTCGGAATATGGCAGACGTTCATGAACCTCCATTTAAAAAAACAGACTGAAAACAGAAGAAGACCCCTGATGTGTTTACAGACCACAGCTGAACAAGATGAGTACATGAAAGGCTCAGATACAGTGGTGTGAAAAACTTGTTAGCCCCTCTTCTTCATATTTTATTCTTTTACATGTTTGTCACAAAGTAACAGATCCATCAGTCTGGAAAATGTTACAAATCCATTTGTAAAGCTTTGGGACTCCAGTGAACCACAGTCAGAGCCATCATCCACAAATGGTGAACACATGAAACAATAGTGAACCTGCCCAGGAGTGGCCGGACGACCAAAATTACCCCAAGAGTGCAGCGACGACTCATCCAAGAGGTCACAAAGACCCTACAACAACATCAAGAACTGTAGTCTTTACTGGACTCTGTAAAGGTCTGTGTTCTGTCCTCCACCATAAGAAAGATTCTGGGCAGTACTGGACTGCATGGCAGAGTTCCAAGACCAAAACCATTACTGAGAAAAAAGAACCTAAAGGCGTCTCAGTTCTGCCAGAAAACATCTTAATGATCCACAAGACTTTTAGGAGAATARGATACTCTGAGGACCGATTTGTGAAGATGTAACATTACATCTGGTGTAGAAAAACAGCATTTCAGAAAAGAAACATCATAYCAACAGTAAAACACGGTGGTGGTAGTGTGATGGTCCGGGGCCGTTTTGTAGCTTCAGAACCCAGAAGACTTGCTGTGGTGAAYGGAACCACAAAATCTGCTGTCTACCAAAAACTCCTTTAAAGGAACATCTGAGCATCTGTTCCTGACCTCAAACTGAAGACCACTGGGGTTCTGCAGCAGGACAATGATCCGAAACACAGCAGCAGGTTAGGGGTTAGGGGTTAGGTTTAGGACAGTGTGTTTATTTCTCCACCTCTGAATGGCTTAAGAAAAACTAAGACTTTGGAGTGGCCTATAATCAAAGTCCTGACCTAAAACCCACTGAGATGCTGTGGCAGGACCTTAAAAAGGCGGTTCATGCTCACAAACCCTCCAATGTGTCTGAATTACAACAATTCTGCAAAGATTAGCCAGGATTGCTCTGCAGCTCTGCAAAGGCTGGGATTCGACTGGTTAAATAATAGGGGTGCAACGATACAGAAAATTCACGATTCGACACTTTAGTGTACAGGTTCAAATTTTTTTCGATACAAAAAAGATAATTGTCCATGCCCTTCTTAACTTGTAATTTATTGAAATTAATTATTTGTTTAACCTCAAAAGTCCAGTTTTTAAATTAAATGTTGCTGAAACAGAAAGTTTCTCAGTGGATCTGAGCTCGACACTGCAGCCTAGGTGGAGTAGTTGAACACAGATCCACTGATCCTTCAACACAGAGCCTCTTCAAAAGACAAGCTGATAAAAATCAATTTTAAAAATCTGTATCGTTCCACACATAGTGTGTATTGATCGGTACAATACAGATACATGTATTGTTGCACCCCTAGTAAATAAATAAAAATGTTTACATTTGTTTGGTGGTCTGAAACATTTAAGTGTGACAAACGTGTAAAACAAGAAGAAATCAGGAAGGGGGCTAACACTTCTTCACACCGCTGGAGGYGATGTTTAGCATCTGTAAATAKCATTTGCAAAAARRAAAAAAAAAGACTTTGGACAAGTTCAGCCTAGAAGAGTTTGTTTTACAGTGTTCTATTGAACTCCTACACCTCTGTGCTTCCTTCACCTGAAAGGAAAATAAGAGTATGAGCTGGAAAAGGCTGCACGGTGTGATCCAACAGACCCTGAATTCTCTTATCATTCCTGTACGTCAGAAATGTCAACATTCAGCTCTGCAGCAGCTTCAGAAATACACAGCTGAGACAACAAACTGCTCCTGWTCAGCGTCTGCAGCCACAGTGCTGCTGTCTTCAGACTGTACAAGTCCTCCCACACCTTCACCTCTGCAACTCCGTCAAGGCATCTAGAATATCACTATCAGAAAAAAATACACAAGTGTCGTCAAAATCTACTCTTGAGTTAAACATTTCATTTTTTTATGAGACTGAATTTCAGCTATATAATATAATTTGATCTTAAAACAACATCAAGAAAACATTCCAGGTTTTTGGGGCAACATTCAGGCATCAAAAAACAAAAATCTTGTCCTTCCAGTAGCTTTTTTCTGTAATACAGAAAAATATTTACAGATGATGATCAAAAAAAAAAAAAGTAGTAGTGAGAACGACACATCAAGTCTTTGGCACTCCTGAAGTCAACGTCCAACAACCCAACCGTCCCCAGAGATGTTGGATTTCGTCTCAAACGGGTGGAGGGACAGTGTGACAGTCACGTCGCATGGTGGTCTCCAGTCGTCTCACTGTGGCTGCTGACTCAGCGTTAACAGATTTCCTCCACCTGCAAAAATCGGAAACACAAACTGAAACTAACTTTGTATAAAATATTTCCCAATATTTATCACCTGCTGTCAAAAGGTGAAGTCTGACCACCGCCTTACAGACACGTGTGTTAGCAAAATATTTCAACATGTTTCTTCTGTTGGATGTGCTATTAGCACCAAATAAAAATATTTATGTTAAAGATTGCATTTTTGGCATGTCATCAGCTGAGGAAACTAATTAAATAATAAGTTGCTATTAATAAAAACTGTTAAGAGGCCCAAGGGTCCAGAAGTGTAAAGTTGAGGAGGAACAACGACACGAACATCAGACAGATGCAAAACAGATATTTTATAAACCAAGAACTGATGATTTATTCACCAGATGAGGCAGATCGTAAAAACATGCAGTGTCAGGCGTCAGCCTCACATCAACCTGTTCCTGTGGACCATGAAACTGGACCGGACCGGACCCTAAGGGGTCCAGTGTTTCTCTGTGTTCACCAGACCTGTTCTCAGTTCCTCCCTTCTACAGCTGCAGGRAGCAGCCTGAGAGGAGAAGGCCACAGATCATGGAGGCAGGCCCAGAGATGACCCCAGCTGACCAGGAAGAGGGAGGAGCCTCATGAAGAAAACATGGATCAACATGTCTTAGTTTGATTGTAAAACCATTCTTTGTTTTTCCTTCTAGGAGAGGTGGTGCTTGTAGCGTTAGAGCCTGTGTATAATCATGAAATGATGTAATCTGTGGTTTGGTTGGATGCAGGAGTGTGTGTGTTTATGAGTAATCATCACAGAGGTTTAGAGAAACCCTCTGTACGACAGACAGAGAGGCTTTTTGGGTATTTTTAAAGCAGACAGCAGGTTATCACCGCTGTACTCCCCGGTTTCTCTTGGTTGTTTTGGCCCAGGAGCAACAGGAGGGTTTACAGCAGCTGCCTTTGTCTTACTTGCATTACTTTTTGTCTTTTTATTTTTAGATTCAGATTTAGGATGGTTGGGGGATTTTCGCAGTGGTTTTATCACTTTGTGACATTTATATTTTATCTTTGATTTTTTTTATATACATCACTTTTCTGTAACTTTTGAAGTCCATCCATCCATCCATCCATCCATCCATCCATCCATCATCTAAACCCACTTCTTCCTTTCAGGGTCACTGGTGCCCTTACCCAGCAGTCACTGTGCGAGGAGCAGGGTACACCCTGGACAGGTAGCGAGTCACTTTTGAAGTTCACTACATTCGTATTTTTTGTCTACCTTAATAAATTTTTGCCTGTTCATGGGGTTACCCCCCCCCTCCCCCCTGCTTACAGCTTAAAGCCCCTGCGAGGAGTGTGAGGTGCACCAGCCCGGGCCTGGGTGACCCTCGGCTAACGWAAGGAGTGAAAGACAGTCTCTTTTCATCCCAACAGTTTGCAGTTCAATAATCCTGTTTGTGTAGTGGGCCAGTCAGGGTCAGGGTAGTGACTGTTGGTCAAATCAAACAGGTGGGACTGGACCTCAGGTCTCCTGGAGCAGGCTGGACCGACTGCAGTAGAAACGACTGATTGATRGTTACTGATCAGAGGGGTCAGAGGTCACTTCATTAATAACATTACACTAGGATGACCCCGTTTACTCATCTAAAAATAACCAACTTCTACCTGAAACAAAAATCATCTAAAACAATAAATTTTCAGTTTGTTTTAATCTATGAAATGTTGTCTGTTTACATCATCACCTTTATGTAAATATAAACATGTTCATATACAATCACTAACATTAACCCCCCTCAGTTTATTACATTACTGCCACTATTACTTTAATTGTTTTATTAGTTTTAGGAAGTGGTAACAACAGTGTGTAGACACATTCTTCTGTTACGCCTGAGTTTAATGTGTAAATATAAAAAAAATAATAATAAAAACAATGTTTTTAACGTTTAATTATTTTCATTTTGGAGCTGGAAAGATTTAATGATAGAAATCTGGTCACCTCATCAGAACAGCTCTTCTGTTAATTCTTACTTTAAAGCTGCATGACGTGCTGACAGGCATTCCTTCAAACAATGTTAGGCCTTTAAATTTAATAAGAAAATCTCAAAAAGATTTCAAAACGTCGGCTTTACAGTGAGTGAAACAAAATGCTGGCAGTGAAAACAAAAGTAGAATAAAAACATAAGGAATTTAACGCCATTTGCATCTTTGTTCTGCCTTTTTACAACCATAATGATGTGCTCTGTCCACATGTGTGACAGTAATGATGGTGCACAGCATCTTACTGGAGGACCAATCAGAGGTAATTACATAGCAGCAGCTTCCTGTGCTGCTGGAGACTGCAGCTGTGCTGTCTTAAAGAGACAGTTCAGCATTTATTTAAGCCAAGTCACGAGCAGAGGCTTTCAGAGTCTCGTCTGCACCTCCCRTCTAATTCTCCTCTCCAGKTTGTCCTGTGGGAGGAGCCACAGAYGGCCGCTGCACCGGACCAAGAGCCCAGAGAAACCACAGCAGAAAGAGCAGCAGCCATGTGAACCCCGTGTTTCTGAACAATGAAGGTGTGAAGCGAACCAAACCTGTTTTTTTTTACAACAACTCAAGCAGCCGTTTACAGAAACAGCAAACATCTGAGTCCAACCTACCATCAGCCCATGACCCTCCCTGTTTGCTCCAACGTCAGGAGATCACTGTCTGCTGCCAGCCGCTGAGCTTCCTCTCCTCCCTCAGCCTCCTCTCCAACTTTCACAGTAACCTGGACCCACCTGGAAGCAAAACGAAACCAGACTGAGGGCAGCTCAAGTTTGAGGCTGATCTGAGGCAAAGCTTGAAGATGATGGTTTTACTTCAGCTCAGAGAAGCAGAGGAAGAGGTCTGATTTGTTGTTGCAGTTTTTACACTTCACTGCATAGTGAACGTTTACACGTGTGATCCTGAAAAAGCTGGGGTGTCGTTTCAAATGTAAATAAAAACAGAAYGCAACCTTATGTAAATCTCATAAACCCAGGTATTTTTCACAATGAAACATCAATTTGAGCACATTTGGATACAAAATATTCAAACTAAGAAACGTAATGTTATGCATATAACTACTGTTCCCTGAAGGAAAGGAACGAGGTACAACATCATGTATGGGAACCACGCCCCTGCGTGTCCTGGCTGAAGCC